ATACATAATGTAATAAAATAGCAACTACAAAACAATCCATACAAAGAGATACACTGAAAACACTGTGGATGGGTAAATCAAAATGAAATTTTAAAAAAAGTTATTCAAGTAATCCAAAGAAAAACTATGAACAGAAAACAAACTAAACTGGCAGACTTAAGCCCTAACATATCAATAAGTAAATGTAAATGATGTAAACACACAAATTAGAGTTTCACAGAGTAGATTTTTTAAAATGACTCATCTTATATGCTATCTACAAGAAACTCAATTCAAATATAAAGATACTAGAGGCCTGGTACATGAAAATTCGTGAACTTGTGGGGGAGGGGGCTCCCTCAGCATGGCCTGCACCCTCTCGCAGTCCAGAACTCCTCGGGGGATGTCCACCTGTCAGCTTAGGCCCGCCCCCTGGGGTATTGGGCCTAAGCTGGCAGTCAGACATCCCTCTGGCAGTCTGAGAGCCCTTGGGGGATGTCCAACTAATGACAGTGGGCCTAAGCCATCAGTCAGACATCCTTAGAGCTGCTGAGGAAGTGGGAGAGGCTTGGCTTGTGGCTGAGCAGAGCTCTCCCTGAGGGAGCACACTGTGTTGAGAGTTTGCCCCTCTGGTGGTTAGTGCATGACATAGCGAACTGTCATTCTGCCATAAGGGTCAATTTGCATATTACCCTTTTATTATATAGGAGGATAGGTAGCTTGGAAGTAAAGGGAGAGGAAAAATATACCATGCAAACATTAGTTAAAAGAAAGCAGAAGAGGCCACATTACCAAAAGATTAAGTAAACTTCAGAAAAAAGAAAATTACCAAGGACAGAGATTGACTTTATACAATGATGAGATGGTCAATCTATCAAAAAGATTTAACCATCCTATATTCATACGCAGAGGTGCAAACACAAAAACAGAAGTAAAAGGAGAAATGGACAAATTCACAATTATAGTTGGAGGACTTCAACACCTCTCTCTCAACAACTGATAGAAAATCAGCAAGGTTACAGAAGAACTGAACATCACCAAAAACCACATGATGTAGTCCACATTTATAGAACAAGCCACCCAATACAGCAGAATACACATTCTTTTTAAGCATCTGAAAAATACAGGATGGTGTCCTGGCTGATGTTCTCCATGGTTAGAGCATCGGCCAGCACATCAAAGGTTTGAGGATTCAAACCCTGTCAAGGGCACATACTTGGGTTGTAGGTTCTATCCTCTGTACAGGTCAGGGTGTGTGTGCAAGAGGCAATCAATGGATATGTCTCTCAAATCGATGTTCTGTTCTCTCTCCCTTTCTTTCTCTCTCTTTCTCTCTCTCGCCCCTGCCTCCCTCTTTCTCTCCCCTCTTCTCCCTCCCTCCCTTCCACTCTCTCCAAAAATTAATAGGAAAAATAACCTCAAGTGAGGATTAACTCATCATCTACATAAAAAATCCTCCAGAATTTATAAACCACATACTAGAACTAGTAACTTTAGCAAGGTTTCAGGATATATAACCAACATACAAAAATCAAGTGTATCTGTATATAGAAGCAACAAATAATAAGAAATCAAAATTTTAAAACTAGTATTAATGATAGTCCCAACACAGACAGGTTTCACAAGAGGTATTTAAGATCCATGCCCAGCAAGTTACAAAGCATTGCTGAGAGAAATTAAATAAGACCTAAATAAATGGCAAGACATACTGTGTTCATGGATTAGAAACTTCAATATTGTTACGATGTAAATCCTCCCTAAATTTATCTACAAATTCAATACAACCTCAATCATAAATCCTTCAGGCTTTTTATGAATAAATTGACCGACTGACTTAAATATTCTTTTTGGACATGCAAAAGATGTAGATTAGCCAAACAACTTTGAAAAAGAACAATAACACTGGAGTATTGACACAACCTGACTTCAAGACTTACAAACTACAATAAATCAAGACAGTGTGATACTGGTATAAAAACAGAAACAGAAATACACCCACACATATGGGTAACTAATTTTTGATAAAGGTATAAAGGTAATTCAGTGGACAAAGGATAGTTTTTTTCAATAAATGGTGCTGAAATAATTATATATATACATGCAAAAGGGGAAAAAGGAACTCTCATCTATAGTCATATCATGTATAAAATAGAAAATGTGCCGCAGGTCTAAAATGTAAAACAGAGCATTTGAAAACTTCTAGAGGAATACACTGAAGAAAATTTTTGTGACATTAGTTTACACAAAGCTTTATTAGATATAACACTATAAAAATTAATAAGTTGGACTTCATCAAAGTTGAGGGAATTTGCTCTTTGAAAGACCCTATTTGGAAAATGAAATAAGCCACAAACTGGGAGAAAATATGTATAAATCATATATTTGACAGAATACATAAGCCAAGCATATGTATATAGATATCTCTTGCAATTAAAAAATAAGAAATCAAACAATCTAATAAAAATATGAAAAAGATCTGAATAGCCACTTCAGCCTATAAGATATATAGATGGCAAATAAGCATATAAAAGGGTGCATTCAAGACATGGTAATTAAAATTCACTGAGGTACCAGTATACACCTATGAGGATGTCTAAAATTAAAGAACTGACCATGTCAATTATAATGACTATATGGAAGAACTGGAACTCTCATACACAACCAGAGTGAATGTATAATATTACAACCACTCTGCAAAGCAGTTTTCCAGTTACTTAAAAAGTTAAACATACAACTATCACATGACCTTGCCATTTAACTCCTAGGTTTTTACCCAAGAGAAATAAAAGCATATAAGCATATGTTATGTAAAAATAAATATCCATAAACAGAATGTTAAAAATAAGAAAAGAGAGCTTAAATTTTAAGGATATGTGCAATATTTGGAAGATAAAATAAAGGAATATTTATAGAAGGGTGGGGAGGGGTGACAGAAAATATACTTAGAGGATCAATTTCAGAGGTCCAACATCCAACAAGTACATTTCAAAAAAAGAACAGAGAGGAAAACAATGATTAAAGATAAAACACAAACAATATTTTCCATTTTTATGCACATATGATTTCTATGCATGTATCATTAATGAAAAAACAAACAACCGACACCAACCATAACATCATGAAAATTACAGAACTTCAGGGCTGTGAGAAAATCCTAAAGACTTTATTAGATGGCAAAGCAACGCAACCAGGTAACATAAGTAAATGCCTTTAAAATTCTAAGTAAAAGTTATTTTCAAACTGTCATTATAGAAACAATTGAGAGAAAAGAATAAAGATATTTTCAGGCATGTTAGCCATCAATTTTTCCCTCTTATGTGCCTGTGCTACTCAGGAAGCTCTACCAAATTGATGGGGTGTACCAAGAAAAGGAAAACTGAACAGAACAAAACTTCCTTAACATGATCAAGGCCCTATATGAAAAGCCCACAGGTACTATATTTAACTATCACATGGTCTCACTTATTTGTAGAATCTAATGAACAAAACTAATTAATAAAATAAGACCCTAAGCATGGAGGCATAGAACAGACTGACATACCTCAATGTGGGGGTGGGGTAATGAGGAGAGATGAACTAAAGAACTTATATACTTACTAGAGGCCCAGTGCACGACATTTGTGCACTCGGGGGGTGTGGGGGGGACAGGTCCCTCAGCCCATCCTATACTCTTTCACAGTCTGGGAGTCCTTGGGGGATGTCCAACTGATGGCTTAGGCCTGGCTGTCAGACGCTCCCCCTGTGGGAGTGCACTGACCCCCCGGGGGCATCCTGCATTGAGTGTCTGCCCCGTGGTGGTCAGTGCATGTCATAGTGACTGGTCGTTCTGCTGTTTGGTCTATTTGCACATTACCCTTTTATTATATAGGATATGCATAGCCCATGGACATGGGAAATAGGGTAGTGAAGACCTGGGAGTGGGTAGGGGCTGGGAGAGGGCGGGGAAAGGCAGAAGAAATGGCAGACATCTGTAATACTGTCAACAATAAAAAATAAAAATGAAACTATATCTGGTCTCAGCAGACAGCTTCCTGCATAAAACAAAAACATCCTGCTAAGTGAAATAAGCCAAACACAAAGGACAACTATATGTATCTACTTATATGAAATCTCTAAAATGAAAAATTCATAGGCACAGAAAGTAGATTAGAGTTTATCAGGAGCTGAGGGAAGGAAGACCAGAAAGTTATTGCTTAATGGGTACAAGTTTTAATTTGGGATGATGAAAAAGATTTGGAAGAGACAGTAGTAATTGTTGTGCAATATTGTGAATGCAATGAATAGCACTGAATAATGTATTCAAAATGGTTAAAGTGGCAAATTTTACATTTTATGTATATATTTTATAACAAAAATAGCAACAACAAAGGAAAACTCAGGTCCAGGAAACAGGTGATCAAACACTAGAAAACAAAAAAGAATCCACAGGAAGACAGAGAAATGCCATGACAAGAGCAGGAACAGTCCAGGAAGAAAAGGTAGCACTCCCAAAGTGGCAGGTTAGGAAAAAATGGGCCTGAGAAACCATCTCTATTGAACTGACACCAGCTTGAGAATCAGCCTGAAGATCAAGTACAACATATTAGTGTTTCTTGCATATCGTTCTTACTCATATCAAGTTTAGTCAACATTTTATTTTCTTTGTTCAGCACTATTTCAAAAACCAGGGAGGACACAAAAGGCACAGTTCTACGCACATGCAGTTAGGTAGTGATCATGGGATGAAAATACTCAAAACATCTAGGCTTCACTAACAGGACTGAGTCCTTTATTCTTAGTGTTATGCATTCAAAAGGGAAAATGAAAACAAAGTGAAATGTATCTATCACCTAAAGCAAATGAGAAACATTCTTAAAGTACTACCTTACAATATTTCTTACTTTACATTATTGTGTAAAACACTCTAGTAATTAAAAGCAGTGCCCAACAACAGGTACATTTACTCTAACATTTTACACTACAGAAAGTTATCATCAAGTAATATTATGCTATGGAAGTTCAAAAGAGACTATAAAACTTACCTGTTTAGACATATTTTCTGAAAATTTTGCTGACTTTTCTTTTAAACATGTGACAAGGTCTTTATAAATCACTCCTTTTCTCTCATAATTAATTTCCTCATCATCTGTTTTGCCCTTTGGGAGAAAAAGTTGGTGCTATTATTTAATATAACAGCAATATAAGAAACTGATCAATATATCACAACCCAAGTACACATTTTTTTCTTCTCTAAAGGATCCATACAGTAGTCTTTATATATGAAATGTAAAGGCAAAACCCTTCCCTCTTAAAGTACTGTTACCTATTCACTCATTCTTTCAGCAAGCCTTTACTGAGTACCTCCTATACGCAGCAGGGCCCTCTGCTATTCAGCAAGGGAGTGAGAACCTCCTTCCCTCTAGGCTCCTCTAAAGAGAAATACATTATGACTTCAAGAGCCTTTGAGGTCATAAAAGGCCTCAAGATTAGAATGCCACCACAGGAAAGCCTGTGTTTCTATTTGTCACCCTGCTCTCTTGTTCTGTGTAGCTCTAGGCGTATTCTCTAGGGTTATGTCTCTATGCAACCATCTGTCTGTCCTTCCACCTTTTCCTCTGTCTCTCTTCTTGTCTTTTTCCCCCCTCATCCCTCTCTTCTTTCCTGCCCCCATTATTCTCCCTTAACCAAATATATATGTAACTGTAGTGTATTATACATTTTGTTGTAATTACTGAATAGTTTCATGTTCCTTGTGCTTCATTTTTAAACTAAGGGGAATACTTAGATGTTTCCATATCAAATAAACTGGTCTGTGAATCAATGGCCTTTTATAAGAAGCAAAGGTTCCTTATCCCACTCAGGAAAGTCAACACAAATCATTCCTTTTTTAATTTTTTATTTTTTAATTGGAAATTTCACTTTTCTAAAGTGGCAAAACAAACCAAAAGCAAAATTATATTTTGGTCATCTCCCTTCCCTACTGCAGAAATAAGCTAATTGTCATGCTGATCAGGAAAGCACCTCAGGCATGTCAGGAGAGGCGCTACAAGTAATCAGGAGCACAGCACAGTAACTGGACACCAACCCAAGCCCAGGTGTGACAACTCTCTAAGCAGTCCCCTGTAACAGCTGGGGCCCCACTAGGGATTTGGGTCCTCCCTGCAGAATTTCCTGGTGGTGATAGGGGCAGAAATAAAATATTGGGAACCAGCTATAATTGTAAGAAATATTAACCATGCTCTGTTAACCGTGATTGTTTTGTTCTGATTAAAGAAAGTACCGGGGACCTGGGAGCTCAACTGGATATTATCATGGAAAGATTAACAACTTTGTTGCAGAAACCAGCCCTTTGAAGACATCCCCCCCCCACACACAGAAATCAGCACTTTGAAGACACCCCCGCCCCTGCCCCATCCTTTTGCATATCTGTAAACTACCCATTTGCCCTTTTTGCCTACTTCCCCATGTAATCTCTGTCCTTCTACCCAATATAAGCTGGTTTATGGTAGGGTGCAGAGCAAATTTTTGTGGATGACCTGCTGCTCTCCTAAAATACCAGCAGTATTGGAATAAATGCTCATATGATTTAACCCTGTCTCTGCTTAATCGGCTCAAGTAGAAACAGGCAGCATGGACCCATTGACTGTCCGGTTATAGCGAGACCCAAAACTACACTGAAGACACTGAGGGCAGGGTATTGCAGAGAAGAAAGCTGAACTCCTTCTAGCTAAATTCAGTGAACAGATAGGAGACTCGAAAGTTCTTTAATCTAGAAAACTCAGAAGGCTATGTGCTGTTTCGCTCTCAGCTCAAAGCTCACCTATCCACACTCTGTTGTGTGATACTCGGGCTGGGAATCTGCAAAACTGTTTCACCTTTGCCAGGCAGGTTAGCTTCAGTCAACAGAAAGTGAGAGAAGAGACATGCTCCCTTCTACTTGGCACCTGTTCCTGTTCGTCACCCCAGCAACGGTCCCACGCCCCTGGCAGTGGCAGTTGCTTCCAGTAGCAACAGTTGGTTCTAATTTCCAGAAGTATTTCTACCTGTAGTCCCAGAACAAGGCTCTTCACACGCTCCCCCTGAGAAATACCTTCATCAGCCTACCAGGGCACCGTCTTCAAAGATTTGAGTCTCTGCTCTGACAAGATCCTCTGAGCTCCTGAGGGACCAGCACTAACTGGGCAGCATTCACTCCTCAGACGACTGGGTCACAGTGTCATGGAGGCCACCTGAGCTCCGGGGGGACTAGCACAGCCTAGAAGTGACCAATCCTCAGAGGTGTAAGTCCAAGTTTTGTGGGGAACCCTCCTCTGAGCTCCTAAGAGACCTTCACCCAGGTAAGCAGGGTCTACTCTCCAGGAGTCTAAGCCTCATCCCTGCAAGGGTCCTCCTCTGAGATCCTAAGGTACTCACACAGCCTGGCAGTAGCCTCTCCCCAGGCATCAGGGTCCTACCTGCATGGGGCACCTCCTCCAGGCATCCACATTTTGACAATCCCTCCTCCTCTTCCCTTTATCCCTCAACTCTGAGGGCAGAAGCTGCAGTTATTGCTTCTGTGTTATCTCAGTGCTCTTTTTCTGACTTTTCTTTCCTTTAGTACTTGTGATTATGTTAAAGAGGTTTTTCTTTTATGGAGTGGAATGAGTCTGTTGGAAGCCATTTCTTAGAAGACTGGCCAGTGATGGGGACACTGGGGCTAATTCTGAGATAGCAAACACACCCAGCAAAAGGATCTGCTGGAATCCCACAGAACAGCGTTACATTTTCTACACTCACTGGGGTTCAACCCTAGAGACATGTCTGCACTTCAAGACACCGAACTAAGCACCAATGTCAATTCTGTTTTTTAAAAAGTACTTACACCATTTAAAAACACTCCGTCTTCACTACAAGTAATGTACAAAGTTTCAACATCATGTGGTTTCACCAGCACATAACAAATTTCCCCCAGAATCTGCCTCCAAGGTGGGGCTCAACATCCATTTGAATATTCATAATCTGACACCAATTATCAATCAGCTTAGAGTTTTGTAAAATATGTTGGCTCAAAATAAATATTATTAAATTGTTTTCATTTTCTTAAAAATTAAGTTCCAGTGTAGCTATTGAAGCATTTTGAATGGTAATTATGAAAACATATATAACATAAATGAATCTGAGATGTAAACCTGAGGTATATTTGATAGATTCCAAGATTGATTGTTCTCCTTTTCGCGAGAAGCTGTTTGAGCAGTTCTATATCGTTCTTAACTGCCGCTGAATTTAAAGGTATTTCTCTGAAATAAATGTTTAGATCTTCATTTAAAATATTTTATAACAGACTGTATAAAATATACATGAAGACATTCCATTATGTCAAGGGAAATATTTTTTTATAATTAAAATTGGAGGTAATTATAAAACAATAACAAAACTGCAATTAATTTTAGCCATGTTATAATGTCATAACACTGTCAAATCATCAAGGAATTACTGAACAACATTAAATATACTCACTTAAATATTCATTTTATTTCTTAATGATAATACTAAAATACTAGAAAGCACTACAAAAATGAACAAGTTTTAAACCTGAAAACTCTACATAATATTTACGTTATAATTTAATAATTTATCTGAGTCTTATTAAGAGACTCCAAATATTCTAAGGTCACTTAATGTCTTCAGAATTAGATGAAACCCCACTAGATTGTTTAGCACTGTTAAGAGCAAATTTTAATTTTTAGAACTAGAAATATCCATGTGATAAACTAAAATTTTATTCCAATACAATTGAATGTTAAATCAATAGCAATAATTCCCATACTTTATTTTTCCCTAAAACTCTGAAAGCACTTTTTGCACTAATGTTTAGAGTTTTATCTTTTAAAATACTCAAAATGAAATATGTTTTAGAGAGAGATTGAGGAGGTGTACATCCAGTTGCTTAGGTAGCATGGCAGTTTTCTTTTTTTTTAAATTAAATCTTTATTGTTCAGATTATTACATTAGTTACTCTTTTTTCCCACCATAACTCCCCTCCACCCAGTTCCCACCCCACCCTCTGCCCTCACTCCCCACCCACTGTCCTCATCCATAGGTGCACGATTTTTGTCCAGTCTCTTCTCGCATCCCCCACACCCCTTTCC